AAAAAGAGCAGAGGAAGGAAGAGGTAAGGAAAGAAAGAAGGAAGGTAGCTGGCCAGAAGCCTCTGCCTCACCTCGGGGGAGCTTTGCTCAAAACTGAGAGGCCACTGATAACTTGTCTGTCAATTACTCTAATACATTGTTAGTCTTTTAAGAACTTAGCTATTTAATTTAGCCATTTCCAGGTTTCATCTGCCTTTATCTTTCTAACAGTTGAACTGGAAGAAAACTCAAAGGTCGGATACTCAGGGACAGGATTTAAGAGGCCCTGACACCTGAATGGAGATGCAGAGGTCGGAAGTTCTAAGGCCTCTCATGCCATGATGGCCTCTTAGATTTCAAAATCAAAGCTCAATCTTGGTTATAAGTCTGCAAGACGAGTTGTCACAACACTCATCCTAAGAGAAAACCCCAAGCCTCCCTGTCACGTTCTGAGTCTACCCCAGCCTGCTCCTCTTTGGTGATCCATGACCTTTTCCGATGCCAGGCCGCCCAGGTTCAAATCTCAGTTCTGCCACTTCCTCGGTGTACGGCTGGGCAGAGTGCTGAAGCCTTCTCTAAGATTTACTAGCTGCACAACCTTTAGTAAGTATTTAACCCCCTGTTGTCTCAGCTTCCTCATGGGAATGGAGATAATATTATTACTTACCTCATAAAGATTACATGAATTAATGTACATACAGCACTTAGCACGATGCCTGATGTGTAGTGAGCGGTGTTGCCATTATTATTTCCCCTTGAGAATAAAGAGATCCTATAATTGCCTGTGACCTCAACTAGAATTAGGTATGCAAATACCATCCCTAAGCCCCAGGAGTAATAGAAGATAATAGGAAAACAAAGTAATACAAAGCAACGCTAAATCAAATTCCACATTCCACCGGCAGCTTTAACCAGAAAGCGTAGCTTCATCTTCTCCCTCTTCCCCTGATCACCCTTTTGATCTAGAGATACAGGAAAGGTGATGAACCTGAAAGGCAAGCAGCAAGCCGCAGGAATCGGAAACAAGAAACTGGTGCCTTCAGACTGCACGTCAGCCCCTCTGCGGACGTTTCGCCTGCCCCCTGCTGCTCTAAGGGAGTTCGAGCTCTTCCCCATCTACTCCCGGCTACAGAGGCATGGAGGGGTGGAGAGGCCTGTGCTAGGACTGGCAAACTTTCGGAGCCTCACTATGTAGAAGAAAGGGAACCAGGCCCCTCATCTGTGGCTCTGCCACAGACCTCTGAGCGACCTAGGAATAAGTCACCTGAATACTCTCTTTCCATCTACAGGAGAATACCTATGCTACGCACCTCATAAAATGTTGTTAAAATAAGTTGACATAAGGCATGTGAAAGTATTTTGAGAAGTAATGTAAAATTTCATTAATGGCAGGGTTTGCATTACTTTAGCTTTCCCTAAAGTTAACAGATGTTATATGAAATAAAGGTTCTATTATCAAATTAATTTAGCAACTGCTGGGTTAAGAAAATTCTCCATATGCTGTACCTAGGATAGTGATTCCCGACCCTATCACATACATTGTGACCTTGTTGTAAACATGTAACTTTGTAATATTTCCTTTACCATCCTAAAACAAATTCAGTTATGTCATAATATCAAAAAAGGCCACCACCGACAACATATCTACTTTCACAGTGTACAGAGTTGTGCTGTATCAGCGACTCAGATACATCCAGTGGCATTTGCTCATAATGTACTTTTCTGAAATAATAAAAACAACTCTTTGTAAAGCTCCAAACAAAACAAAATACAACCTTCCCTTGATTTATATGGTCATTGTATTCCTAAGACATTCAGTGTCTACAGTTATAAAATCACAACTACTCTGTGCTTACACATAAAACGGGTCTGAAGCTTCATGATACACAGATTTTTTAGCTACATGACTATAGGGACAGGTAAGTCCCAGGGAATGAGGGACAACTCCTGCTTTTATGGAACTGTCTGCGCTGCAGTCTACCTAGCATCCCTATCCTCTGGCCCAATCAAGGCAACAACAAAAACACTTTCACTAATTTATAATTTATAAAATTTATAATTTATAGAACGTCCCCAAGGGGGCAGTACCTTTCCACTGAGAATCACTGCTTACAGGACTTCAGAGTCTTTAACATGATAATGTGAAGACAAAAATAGTTTGCCAATGCTTAACCACAGAATACTTTTTTCCCAAGTAGCTTCTGGAAAGACTATAGTTTCACTAATCACACTTTGGAGAATATTGGTATTAAGCATTTTTAAACAGTAGATCAAACAGTGAAAGCATACAAGTGAACAGCAGTAAGAAGGTTCTAGAGATATGCTTTCCAGAGATGAAAAGCCTGATGCTTGGCTGGGTTTCTCAGTGTATCAATAATACAGAAAAGATATCCCTCAGAAGACAAGAGGAGGCCATAGAAACTTTTCTAAGATACTCAGACATCACAGACACAGAGCCTGATTCATTAGTGCCATTCAAGATAAGCGGTATTAAAGTTTTATATTTGGAATCTGGGCTGTTGCTTGGGAGTCACTTGCATGGTCCTTGAACATATTACTTCATAAATTTATTTTTCAAGGCCTGTAAATTTCTCTCTGCCCTTTTCCCAAAAGGAAATGGGTTCGTGGTTCAGTCCAGTGAATGAAGTGGGTAATGTTGGCTGTTCTTTTCATTATCAATTCAATATACAAAATTACAGCAATGAAATGTTTATTTCCATTATTCCTCCAATCCTGCAGGTTTCATAAGCACTGAAAGATATGTTTAAATTGGACCCCAAACCTGGCTTTAATTCATAACCTAATGATTCTTTTAAAAAGAAAAGCCCCACTATTCAGGGTCTAGGTAAGGCTAAAAATGTTGACTTTTATCTCAAGTGAAAGAAATAAATGCCAGTAAGTAATTACGGAGCATCAGATAAATGCTATTAGTTACAGGACCACAGAACCTTTCTTGCACTGTCAGTATATTTTTATTTTAACAGATTTTAAGATAAATGTTAGAACACTTCAGATTTTCCTAAGTATTTATCAAGCATTAGTGCCATCTGGTGGACATTTTTAACTAAAGCTAAAACGATTTTTTTAAATTGGGGCTTTTTTCCCTCATTTAAAAAAAAAGGTAGAAAAGCACATTTTTATGATTTTGCAACATACTTTATCTTATAGTTTCTTTGGGGACCAGTGCATCAGTTCACTCCTACTAGGTTCTATCAACCTGAGGTCACTTACCACACAGCCACACCTCATATCTAGACTCACATTTGTGAATGGATAAAGTACCACGTTATTTATAAAATAAATACTTAACAGTACTTGCAAATTTAACAATAAAATGAGTGAAGATATATACAATGCCTAAAATCAACAAGGGCTACTTATATAAGACATTTTTTCAAATCAAGACAGAAAAAGCAAAGAATATGTGTAAGCACTGACCAGAAAGAGATATGAAGAGATACTCAGCATGTTATCAAATAATTAAAATGAGGTATCAGCTTACGCATATCGGGTTGGCAAAAATTATTTTAAAAGTCTGATACTAGCAAGTGCTAGTGAAAGTGTAAGGGAACAGAAGCCCTAGAGTACTACTCATAGGAAAGAAACCTGGCAGTACTTAGTGAAGTATGTATGCATATATCCTACAACCCAAAAACCACATTCCTAGGTGTACTAGTTACCTATTGCTATGTAACAAATCACCCCAAGATGTAGAGGGTTAAAATGACACACACTTACCTCAAAGTTTCTGTGGATGAGGAATCCAGACGTGGTTTAGCTGGGCGCTTCCGGATCAAGGTCTCTCAAAAGTCGGCAATCCAGGGTCAGCTGGGGCTGCAGTGAGCTCAAGGGTAAGTGGGGAGGCACTGGCTTCCAAGCTTACTCTCAGAGCTGTTGGCAGGCCTTAGGGCCTCACTGGATTTAGGTCAGAGTGAGTTCCCTGCCACATGGACCTCTCCACAGGGCAGTTCACAGCATAACCCTCTGCTTCCCCCAGAGAAGAGAGAACGAGAAACAGCAAGACAGAATCACAGATCTTTAGTAAGCTAACCTGAGACGCGAGATCTCATTGCACTTGCCACATTCCATTCACTAGAAGGCAACCACTAGGTCCAGCCCACATTAAAGGGAAGAGATTAAACAAGGGCATGCAGAGAGTAACTAAACTTGTGATCATTTTGCAATGCATACAAATGAGAATCATGTTGTGCACCTGAAACTAATATAATGTTGTGTTGATTCTACTTCAAGTGGGGGGCAGGGGGCACGAATATCAGGAAGCAGGGAACACTGGGAGCCATTTCAGAGGCTGCCTACCACACTGGGTATACACCCCAGGAACCCTCTACAGATCAACAAAACAGGAATGAGAATGTTCATGGCACTGTTTATTATGTGCCTGATGATTTGCATGGGCCAAAATCAACGTGCCATGAAATGAGTATAATCAACACAATTCTGTGAATCTAAGGGCATTAAAAACAAAGCCCGAAAGTCAAGGAGTAAAACAAATGCATCCCTCCACTGCTGTGCTCAAGCCCCCTTGAGAGTGCTTCTTGGAGAATGCCAGTTATTGATTATAAAATATATGTGCATATGTATAAAGTCTTTGCACAGGCTTGTTACATGTTTTTCAACCCACCTGCTCCGAACATCTGAGGCTGGGAGACATCAAACTACATTTCTAAGCTCTCTTGCCAGGTAACTAAAGGGCATGAGGAAGTCGAAGGTTTCAGAAGGACGCAGAAAGGCTCTGGCTCTGTGTGTGACCTGCTGGCAGACGCTCTTGGGGCTATGGGAACGGAGTGATTCCAGATGAGCAGCGGGGGCAGAGGCAGCACCTTGGGGAAGTGATGCGTCTTCAGCCATCCCAGCTTACTCCAAAAGAGTAAGACTACCTAATGGGCAACTGTATTTTTTCAGTGGGAAAATCGTATGACAAATACTTAAATAACATAATTCCAGTTTAGAAAACTGTATGAGATACTCTGTCATTTAAATACGACACTGATGCAATCACCTCAAGGACACAAAAAAGGGGAAAATGTTTTTATTTTCATGCTTTTTAAACTCTTGACATAGAACAGGTAAACACAGACCACAGTGAAAACTTTAAATATGGAGACAGAAAAGGGAGCCATACAGAAAGTGCAGGCCTTTATTCATAACTTCAGAATTAAGGAGTTCAATCTTAAAAAAAGGAATGTTCCACTCAATTTCCTTATTTAGTGGTATACCTAGAATTTTTAAATTAGCTCTTAGCTCTGGCATACTTAGTAAGTATGATCTTGCTTACAGAAACAGAATCTTACTATTTCATTCTCAGAACACTCCAAAACCGAAGCTAACTCTTCTTTCAAGGATGCGGAAGGCATTCCTCATTCAAATCTGATTCATGGTTTTATAAAGCATGAAGATCATTTCCACTACTTCACCACAGACAAGAATCTATATGCTGGATTCTAATATTCTTTGCGATGGTTATGTGTTCAATGATAGAAACTTATAGAGAAATACCTTCCTTCTCAATTTTTTAACCAAAATTTCAAAAGCAAAATCCTTGAAATGAAAGGAAGATGTTTTTAAGACATAAGCAGCTATTATACTAAGCTGCTGGGCTCAGGCAAAAATAACAAAGATACAAGTTGTTATTTAACCTTTAAATAATTTGTTTGCTATAAATAATTTAAATATATTTTCTTCTGCAATAAAAATTAAGATAACCCTCAATTTATCAACTTTTAAAGGTATTAATAAAAAAGATTAACTTTCCTCCTGAATGTCCAGTGATAAACTGGACCCCAACTTCCCTACCCCAAGGACATAAAACTGATCTACAGTGGGTCAAAGTGTACAAGTTCATATTAAAAATGATTCTTCATATGCTCTTTCTAAGGCAATCAATACAAAAAGAATGTAAAAGCTTGTTTTATGCTTGCAGATTTAGATAACCTGCAACTTCTAAGCTTTTAAATCCAGCGCTAATGTTATGTGAAAATACTTTGTCTAAGAAAAAAAAGCGAACCAATAAGATCCTACACATAAAATGACCTAAATATCAGTCATAATAATATTCTCCATAATCTTTTGTTATCTAAAATTTCAAAGCTATCAATCTTTTTTAGTGCTTTGAGTGGGCAATCAAAATAGTCATATTTATTCAGGTTTAAAACTCAATTTTTCCTCTCTGAATATGGAGGCATAGAGGAAACAGAAAAAGTTATTCTGTGCAACATCCTGAGCCCACAGATGCAAAAACCATCCACAACATGACCTCATTATGTCATCATCGATGCACCTTCTTCACCAGTAGCATCTTGAGAAAGGTGAAGGTCTTCAAGCATCTCGGCCAGACTAATTCGAGGCGCTCCTTCATCATCCGTGTCACCTTCCACAGGAATGGTTGAATCTAAGAAAAAACACAAGGAGCACGGTAAATAAATATAAATATGAAACATGCTAATACCAGCCCCACCATCATTACTATTATTTTACCATATTATATCCTCAGCTCTTGTATGATATCTAGAGCAGGCATTTAAACATTCATTGAATGACTGAGCTGCATAAATATATTGTAATGCAGAGGATCAAGCCAGGTGTTGTGCCAAGGGCCACACCAAGTGTAGTGGCCACTCAGGGCCAGGGAGGTTCACTCTGGATCCAGGGACAGTCCATAGAAAAGCATGAAGCCGAAGGAGGACTAGACATTTACTTTATTCAGCTGATGGCCAGGCTGACATAAAGAGAAACAAAGTCTTCTCGGTGGCGGCCAGCCAGGCATACACACACGGGGGGGCACACTATACCCCATGGGGCAAACCCCAAACCTGCAAACCCGCACCTCTGAAGGTCCTGGGCCAGTCTTATAGGAACCAGGACAACAGTGGCTCTCAGCCAACATGGGTCAGGCATTAGTCAACTAGCACAGCATCTGTTATGACTGTGCTAGATCATGTTTACATAACTGCGGCCTTCTGTCATGAGAAGGTGGCGAGAAAACTTAAGTGTTTTAACTTTCCTTCATATATGAATATCTACTAGTGTAGGCGTCAACAACTTGAGGGATCATGCTAGGATGTAAATGATATCAAATGGGATATAGCAAACATTTTAATAAGTTGTATTTCCTGCAAGTTTCTTAAAAAATAAATGCTTAACTATAGTAGTTTGAAAAACACACAATAAAGGTCAGTTTTTTAGAATCGAAGTTTAAGATACCAGAATACTCACTGTGGGGGAATACATCTATATAGTACAGAAGATGCAACTTAAAACACTCAAACACCAACCTCTGTAAATGTTGACATTTTTTCTAATTGCCTCATCTTCTTCAAGATCTTCAAGGAAATCTTGGTATTGCCTATAGAATAAAAAAGAAACATTTGAATACTTCATCTTTACCAAGAAAGTATGAAGTTATCTTTTCTTCACTTTCAGCATTATAAGATAAATGTGTTACAAGTATTACAATCTTTAAAATAATATCTGATTTTCAAATATGTATGTTAAGTATTTTAACAAGGTTTTTAAAGTTTTTTCTTTCATAATAACATGATAAAAAATACACAACTGAACACAAGGTGATGTTAATTTAAATATAATACAATGAGAAAGCTCTTTCCCACTTTAGTTATTTCAAAATAGTCTTATGGCAAAGTAAAAATACATATACTTTTAAGACTATAGATGAAATTCAGATGTGTACTTATGTCTAATTAATTTAACATTACATATTTAATACATACTTAAATTACATTATGAGATTATATTTTAGAACTATTGCTATTTCACACTCACAGTTAATGACACAATTTTATTTAAACTCTTCATTTTTTTTAGACATCAGTGTCTTTACCATCATTAAGGCCACTTTTCAAATTATCCAATACAATTTTCTAGAACACACTATCTCCATTTCTCCTCAAGTTGTTTGAAAAATAGCATATTTGATATCAATGAACTCTGTTCACTGTATCCCAAGTCATAAGTACTCATTTGCTATTTCTATATTTTGACTTTTCAAATAAATTTACAATAACACTGCAATTGTCAGGTCATAACCCAGGAAATAATAATTAACCTATGTTAAATGTCACTATAGTCTGTTATACTGATTCTACCAACATATTGGTAAGAACAGAAAACTAACATTGAGTGCAAGGATCAATTGTGTGGTGACTATTTCTTTCTAATATGAAAATCACAAAGACTTATAAAGATTTCCTTTGAGACAACATATAGATTTAAAGAGAAGCAGGACCTTTCATCATCTGTATCCACGTTTTCTCTATCTCTTGCAAGTTCTTTCAGTTTCCAGTTTCTACGACGCTGACGTTTGGTACGGTCATAGCTCTTCTTGATTAACACCTAAAAGTAACAAATAATTGCAAAGTTACAAAAAATGGGAACTAGGTAATACTGTCTCAAAATCCAATAAAGATAAAAAATGAAAGTTTATGGAAACACCAGGAAGTAACTAAACTGATGACAGTGGTTACACCTCAGGCGAAAGGAGTAGGGAGAGATCAGGAGGTAGTGTCAAGAGAACTTTTAATATTTTTTCCATGTACTTATTATATGAGAATGCATTCAGTCATTATTTGTATAATTGTTAAAATTTACTAACTAAAGTTTTTCAGTAATTGAAAACTGTTTTTTCTTNGAAGATAAAAAACGAAAGTTTATGGAAACACCAGGAAGTAACTAAACTGATGACAGTGGTTATACCTCAGGCGAAAGGAGTGGGGAGAGATCAGGAGGTAGTGTCAAGAGAACTTTTAATATTTTTCTCCATGTACTTATTATATGAGAATGCATTCAGTCATTATTTGTATAATTATTAAAATTTACTAACTAAAGTTTTTCAGTAATTGAAAACTGTTTTTTCTTTATACAAAAAACTTGAGGTTTCTGGTGTGTTTTTTACACCATCGTTCAGTTTTTAGCTACCATTCACGTAAGTCACTCTGAAATATTATCACAGACACTTTTCCTCCCTTTTACTCCCAATAATAAGTACTTCTAGAATTATATATAATCTTTCACAACTGAATGTCCTAGAACAATTTAATAAATTGCAGAATGAATAAATCAAATAATTTTACACAATACAAAATCTTGTAAGATCACCATGGTATCCTATCATAACTTAGTTAGAAATACCTATTTAAACTTACACCTAAGCCGTGCTTCTATTGCTTAATCTATTAACAAAAGCATAACTTGTGGTGAGGAGTCCTTCTTATACCATGATTTTATTTTTGCCCACAGCTAAAGAGATCAATGTTTATTTTAAAAGATTAAGGAAGCAGGCAAGAAGGTCTTTCACATTTCACATTCACTATTGCTCATGACTTTTATAAACTCATGTTAGAATTTAACAGGTTTTTTACAAAAGTCAGTCTTTCTCTAAGACTTGCTACTGTGAAGATCATTTTCAACTGCAATTATATTCAAACCAGAAAAAGAGTTTAACTCTAAATGCCTTCTTCACTGAACAATACATGAAATAAACTGAGCCTAAAAGAATGAACCTGAATAAACTATAAAGGTCATCAACTTTAGCTGCAAATTTTATTTTTTCTCTACGAATAGCATCAAGCATTTTGCCAGAATAAGAAAATTTGGTTATAAGAGCAACAAAAAAACTCTTTAAATCTTGGGTTTTCCCCACTAAGAAAAATGATTTAAAATAGCAATTTTCAACCTTTTTCATCTCATGGTGCATATAAACTAATTACTAAAATTCTGCAGCACACCAAAAAAATATTTTGTGAATCTGACAAAAAAGAAAAAAAGGTATAATTTTGATTCATTCATATCAAATGGCTCTTGTTGTGTTGGNGTGAATCTGACAAAAAAGGAAAAAAGGTATAATTTTGATTCATTCATATCAAATGGCTCTTGTTGTGTTGGCTGTTGTCATTTTTTAATTTGACAATCTCAGGGAAAAGAGGTCAGTGCCCCTGACTAAATAGTCAGGTTATTACATGTTTTAAAAAATCGTGTGGCACACCAGCTGAAAATTGCTGATTTAAAATGAAGGCCTTTGCTATTATATCTTAAGTGCAATTTCAAAAGAAACCTCTAAACTGATTTCTTTTAAAAGATGTGAACCTGTGTGCCTTACCCTAAGAGTTACATCAATCCTCTTTAACACAGGGAAAAGGGGAAAATCTAAAGCCTTACCACATCTGGGACTCTATCCGAGTTCATTTTGTTGACGTGCTCATCATTTAAGTTACAGTTTGCCAAATCAAACCTGAAAGGAAAATAATAAAACACTTAATGGCGAAAACATTTTCCCTTTCCATTAACTTTTTATTTTATGGATGACCTAAGAAAAAACATTTAATATGGGTTCCCATTTCAAAAGTTTTGTAGTTTACTATACAGTGAATATGCGTCTGCAGATCACAGGGGAGATAACAATGCACTCTATCTCTGAGTTCCACAGATCCATTATTGTCCACCTTAGCATGTCTTTGTAAAGAAGCGAAAGAGACTTATACATCAATCTAAAGGATTCAGTTAGATGGTTCCATTTAATTTATAATAAAACAAAACAAAACAAAAAAAACCCCCATTCTCTAGTAAAAGGAACTAAAAGCCTAAGAGCAAAAGTAATGTTTAAGGCATGATAAGCTCTGGATCAGAATGGCTGTCCTATACCTGTAAAGATCCTTAACATAGATGGCTGCTTTTGTCAAAGTGAGATATCTGAGCAGCAGCATATGCCTAATAAAAACTCCCCCCAAAAGCTGTACATATGATCTAATCAAACAACTTCAGAATTCAGTTGTTCAAAATCTTGGAACAAATGATGTTTTAAGATGATGGGCAAAATGGAGTAAGTATGGGCTTCTGTGCAATCCACAGTTTAGTTTATTTATTAATAGTAAAATGAGCTATAAGGCTCCTGGGGACTCTTAAATTCTTTTTGGAATAAACAACTTTAGTATTTTAGATAGCTTTGCTGATTCCAGAAGAAAATTTGCAATGCTAATTGACAGTTTAAAATATTATAAAACAATACAAACCCCAACACCAGGTCTCCAGGATTCAGAAGATGTCCCAAATGAGTGCGACAAAAATACTGTTTATCTGTATTCATTTCAGATGTTTTCTGTACCCAGACTTCCCCAAGGGTATGCTTAACAGGAAAGAAAATGGAACTCAAAACGCATTTCATAGAAAACTTAAATACAATGTTGATTGTGGTTTTCTAATTTTCATTTTAAAAACATAAATAAATGTTTTTGTTAAGATTTTAGTCAAGACTTTTGTAAAACATTACTAATGCCACCTAAAAACAGACATATGTAGATTTTTTTTAATTGATTTTTAGAAAGAGAAGAAGGGAAAGAAAGGGAGAAAGAGAGAAACATTGATGTGAAAGTGAAACATCAACCAGCTGCCTCCTACACACCTGGCTACCTGGGATTAGGCCCACAAACCAGACATATGCCCTGACCAGGAATCAAACTGGCAGCCTTTCAGTGAACGGGATGACGTTCAACCAACTGAGCCACATGGGCCAGGGCGGCATATGTAGAATTTTCATAAAAAATGTTTTTACGGGGAGATGGGCCAATATAGGCTCGGCAAAGAAAGTAACCAAAAAAGTAGGGGAATCTTAAATACAATACTAAGCAACCCCTTGTGTTTTTTTACACATAAAGTTTAAAAAATCAGGGTTCAGACAAAACAATCTAGCAACCCTAGAGGCCTACTACTAGAGAACCCAAATCTTAATCAAATCAATTTTTTGTATGTCTACTATTTTGAAGTGTAACNACACTACTACTAGAGAACCCAAATCTTTATCAAATTAATTTTTTGTATGTCTACTATTTTGAAGTGTAACACTTAAAAAAAACAAAACTGTTGTAGAAACAACATCCCAAGTTTGCAATTTTAAACTGGAAAGCCATTCAAGTCCCCTTCCAACACAGAATTTTACAAGCAATTGTAACTGACATTCAGACTTCCAAACTGAATTAAATATAGCACATGCCAATAAACTTATACTAAAACAGACCACTGAGATCAAGAACAATACTAAGTTACAGATAGAACCAAGGAATCTCAAAGAAATGAAAAGAAGTAGAAATAAAAGGATAACTGACATAAAAAGTCTCAGGTTTAGGAAAGAAATTAAAAAAAAAAAAAAAAGTAAATTACCAGAAAGAGACTAAATCCTATGTAACAGGGTTCACTTTCTGGCTACTAGACTGCTTATATTTATAAGAGACTTATGAACCTGTTCTAGCTAAGTGTACTTTTTGAAAACCAAAAATACATAATATGTGGTTTTCTATTTGCCTAAGGGAAAGCGGTATTCCTCTACATTTTTTGTAAATGATAAAAGTCTGCTCTTAACCATATTAGTTTTTTAATTTTAAATAAAAATGTGAAATGTAACCTGTCTTCCATTTCCATTGATTTTCCTAAATTACCACAAGTTATTTTTGCCTCAAAACACAGTATTACCTCAGTAGAAATAAGCACCATTAGTATACTGATTAGGGGTCTCTAAATACTAATTCACAGTAAAGGAAATCACTTATATCTTTAAAGAAAATACCTGACTTCAGAGATGGGATAAGAGCTACTGATTCCAGGACACCTGAACACTGCGGTGCAGTGCCAGAAACTAAGGATGAATTTCAAAGACTAGGAAAGTCATGTCAAAAGGACATAAGACCTATATCTATTAAAGAAACTGAATGGATACTTAATAAACTACTAAAACAGAAAGCAACAGGCCCAGATGGATTTACAGGTGAAACTACCAAACATTTAAGGAAGAAATTATACCAACATAAACATGGAATGCATTTTTAACCTAGTGTGATGCTAGCTTTATTTGGAAACACATTTTAGAATTACTGGGACCAAAACAATAAGTTGGGGGAGAAAAAAGAAAAGATGTACAGGATGGAACTTACCTTTTTTGATATCATTCCAGCACCTGCTTTGCGTTTTAAATCTTGGACTATGCTGCATTCTATCACAATAAACTCCTCTAGCTGTTTGGGATGGCATAAACTACTGAAAGGGTGACTCCAAAAAGTGCTCCCATCAATATCTGCAACTAATAAAAAACATAGAATATTAAAGAACAAGAGAAATGAAGTGTCTCAAAAGTCACTTGATTTAAGTAGGACGAATGTGGTATGTACAAACTGGGAAGCACCAGGTCAACAGGAACAACAGTGGCAAGTCACTCTCTAGAGCACGGGTGGGGACGTCCAGCCCGTGGGACATGTCATTTGGTCTGGCCCTGCCAAGGCAACCGCAGGTGGGACTTGAAATTCAATAAATCTAGGCGCTTTTTCCATAGCTAATTTTTGAGTTGATAATTTTGAATGGCCTGCAAATGATGTTATAAATATCCAAATGGCCCTCGGCAGAAAAAAGGTTCCCCACCCCTGCTCTCGAGTCATCATTTATTCCTATAAATCAGCTTAAACTTCTCATAGCACAAGAGAGAGATCAGGTGTCAAACATATCTTAAGTAGTTACTACCATCTGAATACCACAAAGCTAAGTGCCTTTAATATAAGGTCATATCCAATCAGTTGTACAGCTGTTTCATGTGCTGCCATTTTATTTCAGAAACATGATCTTAGGTACTTAGTTTGTGGAAAATAAAGTTTTACCTGACAGATATTCATCTCAGTATTATAAAAAAGACCTTTGATGAATTCCAATCTAATTGACAAGGATAATAAATGACTTTCTGGAAAATAGCAAAATGAACTCAACTTTTTATAACCGAAAACTTACATTGGAAATAAAAAGTGAAAAAGATCAAGCAGTAGGAGATGCAAACAAGTACTGAGGAGACACTAATGAGTGTAGGGTATTCTTTAAAAAGTAGTTTTTATCAAGGAAATGTAAAAAATAATGTATAATGATGAAATTAGTTAAAATTCACATTTAAACTAAATGTTCTACTGGATTACAAAAAGTTAAATGTTCCAAACTTTAAAATATTGCTAGACAACTGAAATTTGGCAAAGAACTTAAATAATTAGTCACAAAAGTAAAATGAAGCAAATAAGTCAATTTCAGTAAAAATAAGTGCCATAAAACTAGTAAATTTTTAAAAGTTCACATTATTATGTCAAGTAAAAAGTAAAAGGGTAACTTATCAAAAGCTTTAAAAATTATAGTGTTTTGTAAGATACAATAGTAAAAATGTTGACTAGTTTTTCATAACAATACCACTGAAAATTCTGGGTAAAATTAACATAAATTATTACTGCTTGCTGGACAGAACTGTCAAGGCAAAGTTCCTAAAACTTACCTTGTAGGGTATTTGGATCTATGAGATGGACGGCGCTGGTTACGCGAATACACACACAAATCTGGCTCATATTTCCCAGGCTTTGTGCCAGTTTTGGAGACAGACAGACAACATTGTCCTAGGCATAAGAACTAGCATTTAGAGTGAAGCAAATCCTAAATAACAGTCTCCAAAAGAGACTCATCAATGTATACCTGATCCAAGTGCATTTGCCCAAACTAAAACACTAAATTTTTAATTCCATGTATCAACAAAGGGCCTAAACAAAAGAATCTTTAGAGAAGCAGAAAATAAGCTATACCTTCTTGAGATGGGGATATATGTCTTAATAAAAATGCTTTAAAATTTTTTTCAGATCCTATTCACCCAACTATTAAGTTTATTTCAATTTTGTTGAAGTGTGAATGCTTATCACTCTATGTTAACAGTGTACATTCTAAGCAACGTATTAAAAAGCAACGTATTAAAAAGTCATCAGGAGAGTGACTTTCTAAATCTACTTGTGACTTCTTTCAATCTCCATAAAAAATCGATTTCAGGGTAGCCACGTTTCTCTTTCATGGCTACGTGTACCAATATGCCCCAAACAGCACACCTATGCGCACATTGGGAAATAAAACCAGTAATGGGGTTATCTGTTTTTAAACTGTATTAAAATGTAGAAGAATCTGGGTTATATTTTAAGCTGTATCTATTCACAATCATAAGCTCCTCCACTGAAAGGACATTCTGTGCATCCCTAATAGCACCTAGTCCAGACCCTTCTTTTTAACTTAGTCTTTCCAAAGAATAATGTGTATGCATCCAGTTACCTGTATGAATCACTCGTATTTCTCAGGCTTTGCACCAGTAAAATGTTGTTTTAAACCAGGGGTTTAAAAACTATGCCCCCGGGCCAAATTTGGCCCACAGTCCATTTTTATACAGTTTTGCTGGAACACATNAATTTCTCAGGCTCTGCACCAGTAAAATGTTCAGTTTTAAACCAGGGGTTTGAAAACTATGCCCCCAGGCCAAATTTGGCCCACAGTCCATTTTTATACAGTTTTGCTGGAACACATCCTCAGCCATTCATTTACCTATTATCTATGGCTACTTTGTGCAATAGCAACAGAACTGAATAGTTGCAAAGGAGACTATATGGCCTAAAAGTTGAAAATATTTACTATCTGGCCCTTTATAGAAAAACTTTGCTGACCCTGTTTTAAGCCATTATTTCATCCCTGGCACTGTACTACATCAAAAAGCTTAAGAGTCACACACAAGGTACAAATAAAATCTGACTTCCTCATTTTGTAGTTATGTAACTTTGGTCAAGTCATCTAACCTCCCCAAGATTCAATTCCCTCATCTTCAAAATGATAGTATAACTTATCCATTATTAGGAGATGTAAAGAGGTAAAATATTCTCAAGTACTTAGACATTAACTTATATAGAATTTTCAGAATTATGGCACTTTTCATTATTAGTGATTTAAATAACATTTAAGTTCCTATATGGCAGAGACCTCTAGATACATAATCCTTAACACACAGCCTTCTATACAGATCTTCAATGACTATTTGTTGAATTTTAAGCCATTTATGTTTTTGAAGCAGGGTTTCACCTTAGTACAATTAAATGAAATGATAACCTACATTTTGTGCTATTCAGATTATGTTTTTAAATCACGAAAATGATTCTATAGTCTCATTTCCACAATACTGTTTATTTTCATCATGCCAAAATCCAATCTGAACATATTCCAAAGTGGTTCACTAATATTTATTCCAGTGTCATTTCTTACATTCAAAGTTTCATAGACCTGTCATGTGTCCACAAGGATCACAAATTTTAAGGAATATGGACATTAAAAAAATGAAACAGGCCTTTAAATTGGTACACTAAAAGAAAGGGTATGCCAATTTTAATTTTAAGAGTAACTACTTTTTAACTTCTTAACATGGCTGAGTGTGTTAGAAATCATTTAAGAAGGAAGTTATTCTAAATTTTTAACCAACCCCAGAAGGAAACCAGGAGCTAATAATTACATATAAACCTGTTAATTACTTGTACTCTTTTAGAGACATGGATTAATTAAATAACAAAAAGTACCTTGCATATTGGAACAATTTCCACAGAAAAAGTGCTTTTGTAATTGTATATGTTACTATGAATATCCTGAGAGATCAGTCTCTGTGAGGCTTTGTATCTATTAAGAGAAAAAGTTAACAGTAGTAAAAAGACAAATGCCTTCTTGTACAGTCTCGGAATATCAATTTTCAAATCCAATCATCATTGTCAAAAGTCTGTAATAGCTTCCTAATGTCTGCTATGGTGAAGCCTAATTTCATCCACTTACATTTCAAACCTTCACCAATATGACTGCACCTTTACTATTTTCAACTTTACCTACTAAAAACCTCCAAAACATGCCCTTGGCCCAAACCAATCTAATCTATATACAGCATCTAATACCCGTAAGTCTTTGTTCACACTAATCTCACTTTTCAATATAAACTCTACCTTTGAAAATTTCCCATTTAGAAGCTTAAGTCCTTCCTCCTCCATGAAGCTTCTCCTCAAACCTTCTACCCCCATCTTTCTTTTCTCTTATTTAAAAACATTCAATCAATGGTTTGGCACTACAGTGCTTATTATCACAAGGTGAGCTCCACATCCCCAAGTGATTCTTACATGCTCTTAAGCTAATATTTCCCTTAAAATGACTAAAACCAGTAAACGTTTACTAATTGTGTAAGTACTTCTACTATAATTTTAAATATTTTAACATAAGGGAGGTTGCCTCAGTCTGAAACATGGACGTAATCTATATCCACTCACTGCTCCTTGGACTTAATCACATTTAGGTTCAGAACATACCTACAGGGGACGGTACACTGAAGAAATTCTACCATCTTCTGAGCATGTTGTTTTGAAGAATAATAGAAATCCAGTCCATCTTTAAAAAATAAAAAAAAGCCACATGAAAATAATTCTGCAAAGTAAGACTTTCCTCTACTAATATGACAAAAAACAAATTAAATGTAGATTAAAAATTCAAATTATCATAAAATACATTATAGCCACAACAATTAGGGGTATCATATCATTTAAGACTTTTTTTAAAAAAATCAGACAAATTATAATAAGAAAATAAGATTCACAGTTTTAAATGAAATAATACTCAAGGTCAAGGGAGGGAGGGAGAAAAACACTAAACAGAATGTAGAATAATATTTTATGCAATAAATAGAACAATCTACCAAGAAGACAACAGAAATGCACCTGAGATTCAGAAACAAAAACTATTAAAAGAAGAATTAAGAAATGTTAACAAATGCACAATCATTGCGGGGAACTAGTATAAGACTATCAAAACCAAAATGACCAAACTGACCAAAAAGAGGAAGGATTCATAGAACTTTAATAACCAACTATCAAAATTAATTTGAGATTGAAGAACACGGCCCCAGGAAAGAATTTTTTAAAATTTTAATTTTTTTTTGAATTCATAGAACATTCATAAAATAATTAGGTAGTAAGATTTTTTTAAAACTTCAATAAGTTCCAAATGGTAGAAATTACTACAGATAACATTATCCAATCACAACACAGTAGCATTAAAAATGAGCAACAAAGGGATAACTAAAAGCAAAACTTCCTGCCAAGAAATGTTTAGAAACATTCTTCCAAACAACTCAGTTGACTAGGAAACTAAAACAACTCAGAATGGCCAAAACAATTCTGAAGATCAAGTTATTGGGAAGATTACATTTTCCAATTTCAAAACTCAGTAACTTTAAGTAATCAAGACAGTGTGGTGGTACTGGCCTGAGTATAGACATATAGATCTATGGAACAGACTCAGGAATCCAGAAATAAACCCTTATATATATAGTCAATAGATCTGACAGAGGATCCAAGGCAATTCACTAGGGAACGAATAGTCTTTTCCCGAGAAAGCAGGATATACACATATAAAAGATGAATTTAGTCCCTTTCCCTCACACCATGCATAAAAAGTAACTCAAAGGGGTTATTAACTCAAAACCTAAATATAAAAGCTAAAACTATAAACATTTGAAAGAAATATCGAAGAAAATCTTGACAAGAGTTCTTAACCCTGACACCAAAAACACAAAAGATAAAAGAAAAATAAATTGGCAAATTGGACTTCAAAATTTAAAACTTTTACAATTCAAAAGACACCATTAAGTACAGGCATCACACTTCTTGATTTCAAAATATGTCACAAAGCTACAGAAATCAGAACAGGGTGGAACCAACACAAAGACAGTCCTATAGACCAATGGAACAGAAAAAAGAGCCTAGAAATCAATCCACACATATACAGTGATATGATTTTAAACAAGGGGGTCAAGAATACACAGTGTTTGGGAAAGGATAGTCTCTTCAACAAATGATATTGGGAAAACTGGATATCCATATGCAAAAGAGTGAAATGGACCCTTGTCTTACACCATATACAAAAATCAACTCAACTCAAATTAAGACCTGAAACTATAAAACTCCTAGAAGAAAACAAGAGGGAAAGCTTCATGACATTGTTCTTGGCAATGATTTCATGGATATGACACCAAAAGCACAGGCAACAAAAACAAACAATTGGGACTACATCAAACTAAAAGGTTCTACACAGCAAAAGAAATAATCAACACAGAAAAGAAAATAGTTACAAACCATATATCTGAAAGGGGTTAATCTCCAAAATATATTAGGAACCCCTACTACTCAATAGTAAAAAAACTAATAACCCCATTAAAACATGGGCAGAGAAACTGTATAGACATTTCTCTAAAGATAAATAATGGTCAGCAAGTNCAACCTACGAGATAGGAGAAAATAGTTACAAACCATATATCTGAAAGGGGTTAATCTCCAAAATATATTAGGAACCCCTACTACTCAATAGTAAAAAAACTAATAACCCCATTAAAACATGGGCAGAGAAACTGTATAGACATTTCTCTAAAGATAAATAATGGTCAGCAAGTACATGAAAAATGCTCAGTGTCACTAATCAGGGAAATGCAAATCAAAACCACAATAGTTAAAAAAACCCACAATGAGAAATAAAACTATCACTGTTAACAGATAATTGTTTACCTAGAAAAATCAAGAATATCAACTGTAAACTATTTATAAGATCAATATAAAATCAATAGCTTTCCAATATATTAGCAATAATCAATTATAAAATATAATGAAAAAAGTTTCCATCCACAATAACAAATAGTACAGAATAGCTCAAAGCACCAAAAAGGAACATTCAAAATCTTTATGAAGAAATCTTACAGAATGTCACTGAAATTTAGAAAAGACTTGAATAAACATAATTATGCATCAAACACAGTTCTAAGTGCTTTACACAGATTATTTAATCCTCACAATATTCCTATGAGGTAGGTGCTATTATCATCCTCTCTATTTTATGGATGGAAAAAAGTGAGGCTCCATTTAAAACTCACCGTTTTAAAACAAGGAGTATAATGTAAGAATTTGGTCATTCCTTCCATGAACAGCTATTTCTAAACCTGTACTTTAGAGACTAGAAAACAATGTACAGGTTCACCAGTAGGCAAGGACCATCTAAAAATATTAACCGTTACCAAGAGATTTAAGAGTCTGCTAAAGAATATATTTTTTTACTATTAATTAAAGAAATAGTCATCCATCATCTAGTTGTATAAGTAGGCTACATCAACAGCAAGCGCTAAGCATATGCTCTAAGGAGCCATTATGAAATTACACAAAAATATTTAAATTCCATCTTCAAAAAATCTAATTATATCATTTGCATATTACTGTTTAGTACTAAGTTTAGTCTTTTGATTTAATATATCCATAATAAATACTTCTACGCATATGAAAAACAAAAATATTACAGAAGAACTTGGAGGTCTCAAAAATAACTTCCAATCAAAAATCGATCTCTGGCCCAGCCGGGCGTGGCTCAGCGGTTGACCGTCGACCTAGGATCCAGGCAATCAGGGTTCGATTCCCGGTCGGGGCACATGCCCGGGTTGCGGGCTGCAGCCAATCAATGACTCTCTCATCATTGATGTTTCTATCTCTCTCTCTCCCTCTCTTTTCCTCTCTCTGAAATCAATAAAGATATATTTAAAAAAAAAAAAAATCGATCTCTGCTTAAAACAAGTTTTCAATGAATATTCTTATCATAGCACTTTACATTCTATTAATGTAGTTACTGGTTTATTCATCTGCTAGCTACTTAGTGTACATTTAAATTAAAATAGAAAAAAATTTAAAATTCAGTTCCTAAGTTGCACTAGCCACAATTCAAGTATCCAATAGTCTCATATGGCTAGTGGCTACCATACTGGACAGCGCAGATAAAGAACTAAGATTTTTTTTCTTCCTAACAGAAAGTTCTTTTTAACAGTACTATTCTAGATATTATCAGTAAAGATAAAAGACTCCTTAGGTTAGCTGAAAATAAAATTCTGACATCATTTCAAATGCTTTTTTAGACTAACTCACCGTGAATCTCTTTGATACGAAGTGTATTCTGATGCATTCCATATTTCAAAATTAACTGTTCCAGATAGTAGAAAGTTTTTTTGTGCAAAGTCTAAACATAAATGCATTATTAGATTAAAAGATGAAATGCAAAAAAAACAACCCTCTATAGATATAGCACACTAATTTTTAAAACTAAAATAACCTTTAAAGATTACCTAAAGTGCAGTAGTGACTTATTTCTAGAAGTTAATACTCTGGGACCTAGGCTGGCGCTGGTACATGAAGGATTTAGAAAAAAGGGAAAAGAAGGTTTTACTAGCTATTTATAACTGACAAAGATGATATACAACCTGGAGGATTCACTCATCACCTTTCTCTCCTTACCTTTTGCCTAACTTGAACCACAGCCTTCCAAAAATCCTTAGCTTCTACTCTATGGCAATCTCCACACATCTGGGGCTGAACAACATAATCCACCACAAACACTTGCTGAAGGATAGCACCATTCATCACCTGATTTTAAAAAAATAACCACAAAAAACAATCATACTCATCCTTTCCTTTTTCTATTAATGCTTTAAGAATATCAACAATAAATCAGTTAAGTTAAAAGTCCTAAAAGTTATACTATTTTATGAAAAACACATAGATTTAATTCATAGTATTTACTATATTAACATTTCAAATTTATCTTCTTTTAAAAATATATCTTTATTGATTTCAGAGAGAGGAAAGGAGAGTGAGAGAGAGAGACAGAAACATCATTGATGAGAGAGTCATTGATGGCTGCCTCCTGCATGCCCTCGACTGGGGATCAAGCCCACAACCTGGGCATGTGCCCTGACCAGAAGACCAGAATCGAACCCCAATCGCCTGGATCCTAGGTAAACGCTCAACTGCTGAGCCACGCCCGGCCGGGCTCAAATTTATCTTTAGTTGAAGTGGTTACGAGAATTTTATATCTATATATACCTGTGTATATGTGTATGTATAAAATTCATTCTTAGAAAAAAAAATAAGACTAAAAACTCTGAAAAAGGGAAAAATTCCTAATTTGTTTCCAAACATAGCCAATCATCTGAAATCACCTAGAAAGCTGGGGGTTTTTTTGCGTTTTTTGTTCAAAATATTACAGATGTCCCTTTTTCTCCCCAATGACCCATTCCACCCCACCCCACACCCCTCCATAGTTCCTCTCCACACCACTGTCCGTGTCCTTGGGTTGTGCATATATGCATATAAATTCTTTGGTTAATCTCTCCCCCTCCATCCACCTGCCCTCCTCCAACCCTCTGACATTTGTCAGTCTGATCCATGCTTCCATGTCATTGAATCATTTCTGTTCATCAGTTTATTAAGTTCTTTAGAATCACATATAAGTGAGATCATGTAATGTTTGTCTTTCTCTGCCTGGCTTATTTCGCTTAGCATAATATTCTCTAGGTCCTTCCATACTGTCCCAAATGGTACAAGATCCTTCTTCTTTACAGCTGCATAGTATTCCATGATGTAAATGTCCCACAGCTTATTTATCCACTCATCTACTGATGGGCACTTGGGCTGTTTCCAGATCTTAGCTATTGTAAACTGTGCTGCTATGAACATAGGGGTGCATATATTCTTTCTGATTAGTGTTTTAGGTTTCTTAGGATATATTCCTAGAAGTGGGATCACTGGGTCAAAAGGTAGCTTCATTTTTAATTTTTTAAGTAACCTCTATACTGTTTTCCATAGTGGCTGCACCAGTCTGCATTCCCACCAGCAGTGTACTAGGGTTCAGGAAGCTTTTTAAACATATATATATATATATATATATTCCTGTGTCTCACATCCAGTTGAATCCACTGACTCGGTTACTGTGAGGCATGATGATCAGTCAAGTTTGAGAAGCACTGCCTTGGCTCATGTTTTTACTTCAATCTTTTTCCTGATAAAAATAACTTTGAGCCTTGGCAAGTGTGGCTCCATGGTTAGAGCATCGTCCCGTGCACCAATGGGTCGTGGGTTCGATTTCTGGTCAAGGCACAAACCCACGTTTCAGGTTCCATCCTTAGTCAGGGCTCATACGGGAGGCAACCCACAGATGTTTCTCTCTCACATCGATGTTTCTACCTTTCCCTTCCTCTCTTTGAAATCAATGAAGAGCACGTATCCTTGGGGGAGGATTAAATAAATAAATAACTTTGAAAAAGATTATCTTACAGGTCCAAGTTGGGCCTCTGAACAAACCAAATAAATTGAGCACTTAACATTTAAAAAAAAATTATCTTAGCCCGCTAATCATAAGCAATGGGTACTATTATTAGTGACCTAATCCTCTATGCAAATGATACAAAAGAAAACAAAGGGTTAAAATTAACACTGCATTCTTGGCCTTTTAAGAGATTTAATCATAAAGTAACTTACCAATAGCCCCTTCATCTTCACTACCTACACTTTAACCATGCTGAGAAAATTATGCACAGCTTACCTCTTTCTGAATAGTTAGTTTAACTTTAAGTCTCTTAGAATGGGGCTCAGTCCAAACAAAGCCTGCATCTACAAGCCGGACCTTCAACAAAACACAAACAGCAAGAAACATAAGTTCCCATATGAGGAGAAAAATATGAAAGAACAATTCATTAATAAATTCCATAAGATGTTAAAGGAATCTGTGATAAGCATCACTACCCAACATAACCAGTAAAAAAAAAATTATCATGAAAGGTTTGGCAACAAAAACAGCAAATAAGAGCACAATCTGCCCTGGCCCGTGTGGCCAAGGGTTATTAGAGTATCAACCCAAGCCCTGAAGGGTTGTGTTCTATTCCGGTCAAGGGCACATACCTGGGCTGCAGGTTCGATCTCCAGCCCTGGTCAGGGTACTTCAGGGAGGCAATCAATCGATGTGTCTCTCTCACATCGATATTTCTCTCTCGTGCTCTTCCTCTCTACCCACCCCCAATCTTCCTTCCCTCTCTAAAAAAAAAAATCAATAGACTAAAAAAAAAAAAAAACAGTACACTGTGTTTCATGAACCAAAGTTTGTACCTGGATTATTCTCTCTGTATTAAGTATATAACTTTAAAAAAATAATGAACATTCATTGGAGAGCGTCTCATGCACTGAATCTGCAATCATAAGGCACCGATAAATAAGCAGGATCAGCAGAGGCCAAGAACAGCTCGCTATGTGTGAGGAACAGAATGTACCTCAATGCTGCAAAAATGGGTGTTTTGAGGAAGGAGGTGGGAGAACAAGAATGGTGCTTGTTTCAAAAACTTGGGCAGGAGTTGTAGGTGAGCTGAACTGAAAGATGGTGGAAATAACAGAAGCAAAAAGATCCAAGAGTTAATTAGGAGATAAAATCTATAGGATTTACTAGACATAGAAGGAGGAAAAGAATAGACTCTAGAATGACACTCAAGTATCCAGCTTGGGCATCTAGATAATACTATTTTTCTGACACAAAGAACAGATTTAATAGGGAGAAGATGCTGCATTTGGTTTCAGATGTCTGAGTTAAGTGGATTTATCTATGAGGTATCCAAGATATTCAGTAGGTAATAAGACATATATTTAGTCTGGAGCCCTATGGAGAAATTTGAGTTCTAAAAAAGATTTGGGAGACAGCAGAGGGCAGGTGATAGTTTAATCAATCCCTGTCTGGTGAGAGCTAGACTAGCTAGTGTAGCTACAGCACTCCAGAGCATGTCGAGGTTTGACTGTATGCAAAAAACTGACTCCAGAAAAAAGACACACAAATCAGAAAATAAAAAGAAATGTTTTAAAAAAAACAAAACGAAAAAACCTATTAACAAATCCTCAGTAAAATTCAAGAACAGAATGCATCAAGACTCTGAAACTCCCCCTGCTGGCATGGCTCAAGAAGTCATGGTTCAATTCCCAGTCAGGGCACATGCTCAGGTTTCGGGCTCAACCCCCAGTAGGGGGCATGCAGGAGGCAGCCAAACAATGACTCTCATCATTGATGTTTCTNAGAAGTCATGGTTCAATTCCCAGTCAGGGCACATGCTCAGGTTTCCGGCTCAACCCCCAGTAGGGGGCATGCAGGAGGCAGCCAAACAATGACTCCCATCATTGATGTTTCTCTCTCTCTCTCTCTGCCCCTCTCCCTCTCCTTTCCTCTCTCTGAAAGCAACAAAAACATATTAAAATTTTAAAAAAAAGACTGAAACTTAAAAATATTACTGCTGGGGGAAAAAATACAAAGATAGGAAGATAAAGAAAATTGCCAGGAACACAGAAGGAAAAAAAAGATAAAACAATACAACATAAAAATTTAAAACAATACAAAAAGAAAAAGCCAAAGTTTAGCAATGATTTTACATTTTCCCCAAAATTTTAATTGCATATAAGAGGTTCTCAATAAATAATGAATGACAAATTTAACTCTATATATAGTCTTTCAAAGCAAATCTATTTTCATTTCCATAAAAAAAGAATATATGTAACTTTAAAAATGAAACAGCATTTGTAGTAGAGTGCTTACCAACAGTATCATTTAATAGTTACTTTTGAAAACCTACTTATACAAGGATTTCCTGAAATTGAGAGATTAAAAAGATACTACTACAAAAAATGATTTTAACCATTTGACTTACCTTACTCAGAGGGGCTTTGATTTTTTTCAAACANCTACTACAAAAAATGTTTTTAACCATTTGACTTACCTTACTCAGAGGGGCTTTGATTTTTTTCAAACACAAAGCAAGAAGTTCCCTGGATTCTAATGCACATTGTATCCAAGTTCCTGGTGGCTGGAAATATCTGAGACAGAAGATAACATGCAGATATAAACCAGATATAATAACCCACAGTTGATCTGAAGCACTTAACCCAAATATATTTTAAAAGTTCTAGAAAACTTTCAATTAGACCAGGAGCTTTAGTTAAAAAGGTAAAATTCTGGGTATTTGCCAAAGACAATCTAAAATAACCTAATAAAGAGGTCTTATTACTTCAAGAACCAGTAAGAATTCCAGTGAGGATGACAAATTGACCAAAAGTTCCTTGAATCTTAAAATGGCATTAAAATGATTTATAATGTACTTCTATAATGCTTGAGAATGGCTTATTTCTCACACACTAAAAAGATAAATTAGTACCTCATATTATGTACCAAAATAGTTCAGACTATTCATCTATTTCAAGTCCCTTTCCAAATTTTAATTGTAAAACTCAAGTTTTAAAATCTTACATAAAACCTGACTAAATTAAAATTGAAATCCCTTATGCATATGCTTTTAAGTTTTTTAGCCCAGCCCACCCAGGACTTAGAACAATGCCTAACACATAGTAAGTGCTCAATAAATGCTTGTTAAATACATAATACTTTAATGTGCTATGTGAATACTTTTTTTTTGCCATACTATTAAAGATTCATTCAAAAACATTATATAGATCCCTCTGTTATAAGCATGTTTTCCGAGTTAGAAAGGGCTTCATATATTATCTAATAAAGCTCCTTCATTCTGACGAGGAAATTAAGGCTTAGAGTGGTTAATTGGCCAAAAGAGTTTTAAAAAAGCTAGTTTGTGAGAACTCTAAAACAAACAAACTAGGTATCCTGATTCTTTTTCCAGTGCTTTTTTCACTCCACCCTGCTTTTAGGAATAGCAAATCTTTATAATAGGTTAAGCCTCACACTGCAAAGCTTGCAAACTATAAACCCCTTGAAAGAGTACAAACTTCCATGTGTTTATATATATGTACACGTTTTAAGTATTTTTCTGGGGAGATACATTTTTTCAAATTCTTAAAGGGATTCTTAAACCCTTCCCCTCCAAAAAAGTTAAGAACTACTACAATCCTAACTCATTTGGGAAGTCAAAGGCATGTAATTTTATACAAACAGTTTCCCTGGGCAGTTCTGAGTCACTCAGTGGCCTAACTTGATGGATATAAGTGGTTTATGGAAACAACTAAAGTTAATAAAGAAGGAATATAAACATTAATTTTCAGGTCTTCTGCCTTCAAATCCAGTCTTTATTTCGGACCATTCCAGATACGATTTACTGAGCTTTTTCCTCCCATCAACTATAGTCATTTTAGTTACCTGGGAACATTCCTGGATGTAATTTTTAATACACATTGCTAAATTACTTAAAACAAGGTGCTCTTTTAGCTTCTAGTGTCTAAGGGGGAAAAAACTATCATGGTAATAACAGTAGTATGTCCTTAATAAACTGTTTTAGCCCTTACAAACATCACCTCATTATCTATTAACTGTATACATCAAACCTACTCATCTGTTAACAGAAAAAGAACAATATCAAATATCTTTACACATCTTTACCAGATTAGCAGGACAAACTAAAAAGTACACTACAAAACCACAAATTCTGAAATCTTTGGCAACACCGACATAAATAAAAATTAAATCTCAATTACATGCACTTTATTTGTGTACCTTGGTAATATCCTCATATCCTGGTTGCTCTCCTATATATAAATCTCAACTCTAAGTAGGATAAATAGTATCACAGCATACCTTTGGCATTGTTTGCAGAAAGATATAGAGACCTGCTTCGGAATGCCTTGGCTGATGTCTACTTTACTTCGCAAACAGGCCACACAAATATTGGCAGGATTTGGACTAATTGCAACACCACATTCGCAGCACAAGCTTAAAGAAAGAAAGCAGAAAATTTACAAATTAGAGTTCATAAACACACTGGTTAAATTTCAAAACTATCAAATAAACCAAAGGCCTCAAGTTAGTGCCATAATATCTCTGCCCTAAAAGCAGCAAAGAAGAAAAGAGCAATCTTCAGAGGCAATAAAGAACAACTTGGAGTACAGAGCTAGAAAAAACCAGGACAGCCAAAAATCCGAAAAGCCTCAAAATACGGCAGATGTCCAAAGGGACAAGAGAGTCTAAAGTATTTCTAACAGTAATCAGATAGCATTCTAATCCAAAAGCCATTTTTTTTAAAGCCTCAGCATAGCACAGGGGCTGCCAAAATGTAAACATTTACCCAGAGCCCAAAACGTTTAAAGGAAGGAAAGGGTATCACGTCTAGTGATTCCGTGTACCTGATGGGAATGTCTTGGTTTAGGTGTATTGGGGGCAGAAAATGCAGACGTGGCTGCTGAGCACTTGAAATGTGGCTAATGCGACGGAGGAACTGAATATTTAATCTTATTTTTTAATTACTTTAAATTTAAATAGCCACATGTGGCTAATGGCTGCGGTATTGGACAGTGCCAATCTAGAAGAAGGTAGGAATACATTAACACTCTTAGAGCAAGTATTCGAATGAATTCCGTCATCTCAGGAAACAAGGCTTTTCATTTTTTCGCTTAAGACAAAGAATTCCCCCCTGAGAAAAGGGCGTCCCGCACAGCAGGCTTCAGACTCCCTTAAACACCTTTCCATGTAAAGGGGCCGGGACTCACATGTGTGCGGGGGTGCGGTCCGTGGGCTCCGGCATATACTCCATCGTGCTGCGCGCCCTGATTTTAAAGAGAATATCGTGGGATTCGTCATCTGTCCATCCCCTTTACACAGACGTTCCCTCTCCTCTCCGAATAAGGCAGCCAAGCCCCGTAACGCAGCAAATAGGAGAAACCAATCCCACTTGGTAACTTTGAAAGAAGTTAACTTCTTTTAATATCAAAACGGGGCGAGTTCCGGAGTCCCCATTCCGCAAGACCCTCTCGGGCCACGAAACTCGGCCGCTGACCCCGGGTGTCACCTGGGCGCCAACCCCGGGGGGG